AATATTAAATACTGCAAATTTTATTAAAATAAATTTTAAGGAGTTCTACTTATTAAAGGAAATATAAATTCTTTCAAAAATTATTTCAATAAATCTAATGTATATATTAAATTAATTTATCAAATTCGTGCATATTAAACTTTCGTTTAATAGAATAAAGTAAATATTTTTCAAAAATTTAATCTGAATATATAATAATTTAAATTAATAATATCTGAATAAGATAAATAGTAATAAATGTTAATAACTACAGTAAATATTTACTTTTGAAATTGATTAAAATTGAAAATTTATTTAATTTTTGTATATTACTTTAATATAATATAATGTATTCAGAGAAAAGAACATTTGCATACTCATAATTTACAAATTGTTATCTCTCTTACATGATTTAATTTTTTTTTTGCATCTTATGCATTTAAATTTATAAAGATATCCGACTCTTCCTGTTTCATTGTGCAAGATCAAAAGAATCAAATATCTGAAAATGAATTATATTAATTGAAAAGTCTTCGGACTTTTATCACAAAATCAAATTTTATTGATGGCAAAATTAAATAGAATTTTGATAAAAGTTTAAAATAGATTGAATGATTCCTTCTTCTATTATTTAAATATATTTATATCAGTCTACAGAATATGAAATATTCTCAGCTACTGTTTTATTGATAAAATTGCTTATTCAATTGACTTAGCTAAATTAAAATTAAAATGTTAAAAATTCTTTATATTCAGACTGTTTAAACATTTTTCTTTATTGTAAATTATTCTCTCGCTATTGTAAATATGCTATTTTGATATAGAGTATTATTATCTTTAAATAGTTTGTTTTTAAATGGGGACACTCAAATTATCATCTGTTCAATTCATTTTTGTGTGTTCATTAAAAAATAAAATAAAATAACCGAATTTTACATTTCTGTAAATAGACAGAGGTCATGGATTGATCCAAATATCTAGAAATTGCATTTTTATGATCTGGAGTTAATAAATAATAAACTAGATATTTTCATTATTTAAACTATATATTTCTTTTTAGATTTACTATCAATTTCTCCATTTTAGAATTGAACTCAATCTTATTAAACTATATAGAATTTTTTTCTATCAATTACAGTTTTCACTTCACATTTTTATTTAACTAAGAGATGATGATATCCTTGAATCAATGTTTACATTTGAAATAATAATGAACTAACAAAACTAAGATGTCAGTATACATTAAAATAATTGTTAAATATAAATATATATGTTTTTTTCTATTTTTCAGAAATGCAATAAAGTCACAAATGTGTTTTTATTCTGATGAAATTTTTATTTAATGTAATCAATAAAATTGGAAAGTTCTTATGAATTTGTAATATATTGATTAAATTAAATCTAAATTCTCTGTATAGTCCTGAATGATTTGATTATATATTTATTTATATTTTTTTTTAAATCTTGCAAAAAACATTTTTATCTATAGGCCTACAATATGCACTCATTGTAAATAAACTGTGTCAATGAAGTTTATATAAATCTTAATATGTTTAAGTGTTAATAATGATACAAAAAAGCATTTATTTAAATTATTATTATTATTATATCTATAAATATTTTTAGTTATATTTGATGATGGAAAATTCTATATGTTTACTGTGTAAATAGCATTATTATTTTTATTATTATATTGCTCATTGAATGACCAGGATGAAATGATCAAAATCATATCATTTAAACTTATTCAAATCTAGTAATTGTTGTTTTCAAAATCTTCAAATATTTAATGTGATGTAAAATAAACTATGTACATTATTGTTTGTTGATTGGCAAGCTATTATATATATTTTGTCATATAACAGATTAATGTAATTCAATATAATATGAATTTAAGTATAATTTTTCCCTGAATCTTGCATTTAACTTTTCCTTTTCTATGTACTAGCATGAAGTTTATTAATTGCTAACCTGTTTTAATTTTTTTTTAAATAAATAATTTTGTAAGAAAAAATATATATATATTTGTGGATTTTATTATTGGGCCGCAATT